TCTATTGTTCAATTTGGACTTGAACTCACTTTGTAGTCCATGCTGGCCTCCAACTCACAACAATCCACCTGCATCAGCCTCCTGAGTGCTGGGATTACAAGTGTGTACCACTACAGGCAGTTCCTATATCTCTTCATATTTAATGAGACATGTGCATCTATCGGTCAGATAGCAAAATGCTTATTTTGAAGATAAAGACATTGGAGCTGCAAGAGCACGGACACTCTCTCCCCAGGCTAATAGCTAGCAGAAAGTGGAGTCAGAATCCAAAACCACACCCATTTGAGTCAGTTTGTGTTCTTCTGTGCCTCATGCTGCCAGTGGTGCTACACTGGGACCTGAACAGACCACTTTAACCTGAGGTGCTGTTCTCCAGGGACTGACACTAGCATCTCCTTTCCTCGGTGATCTTTGGAATCTTGGCTCAACTGCTTCTTGCTTATAATCAAGATAGCATATCACTCGTGGTTCCATTGGGCCTATCACATGATCCCTGATCTCAAAGTAGCTTTTGTTAAAACATGCAGTCCATTTTACTCTTTATATGTGGATGACCTGGAACATAATTTTTTTCCTAGTTTGAACTGATCCCATTTTCCTGAGAAGTCACTTTCTCATTGGCCTTGTCACTGAGGGATTCTCAATGTCGTTTTGAAGGCCAAAACTATGGAGGGAGGTTGTTGACCAGAGCACAGTGCTAAGAATCTCTTGGGCAAAATTAACCCTCTGTTGGTTGCCCAGGTAGATATCAGTTTACCAGGTTCTATTTTAATGTCCAAATTCAGTAATAAAAATCTTATAATCATATTTTCAACACTAAGGTGTGGTATTTTGATCAGAATTGTTAAATAACAGGTCATAGCTATTTAGTTTGAAGATTTTAAAAAAAATGTCTTTGGTACAGGATCTCACTATGCAGCTCATTTTCCAGCCCTTCGTTTGAAGATCTTAATTGGCTTTTTTGCAGTCCTAGAATAGGGCAACATTTCATTCTTAAAAATATAATGTGTTCCAATAAGCCAAGGAGAGGAACTTAGATTTATAGACAGAAATGGGTTGAAGGAAGTAGAAACAAGAAATAAAAAGTGGACTGGCTATGTCAAAGCTACTTTTCTTTTATGTCAGGGATAGGGAGATAGAACAATAGAAAAATAATTGAGTAGTTAATAGTAGGTTACTTAAGGTTATCTTTTGCTAAAGATTAAGGCAGAGAGAATCTCATCATCACACCATTTGATACTGGCCTGTTTGGGAATGTCGGCTGTCTCTTTTAATTATTATTATTGTTATTATTATTATATATATTTTTGGAAATCAATTAAACCATTGATGTCCACCTTAGATATGGAATTCTAGTGGGAGTGATTTCATTTCAATTTTTAGCCTGGTCTGTTGGGACCTATTATAGGAACTTAGTCCAAAACAATAGCTATATATAATTTTTATCTACATAAGGTTTATAAGCTCCAAACGGCAGTGAAAGTTTGTAGTAGATCACACAATAAATGAAGTCATACAGCTCCAATTCTCATCTGATGCCAAAGGCAGAGCACACAGACCTTAGATGACCAAGCTTTCCTCTGTGAGAAGTGTCATCGTTTAACAGAAGTGTTATTCAGTAAAGAAGGTTGTGCTATACTTCAGAGAGCTTCATTTGTGATGTTGGGGTATTATTTCACTACTGTACAATTGACATTGAATGTCATTTGTTTCCAAACAAAACCTGAGCTCAAACATTGTTCACAGTGCTTTACAAATATTAAACCATCTTTATGGTTTCATTGCAACTGTTCCTGAGGCCCCATGGTAGTAAGCAGTGGGTATTCATAGTCCCAGCTGCCCCTAAGGATGAAGCAGGAGAAATTACTTGCGTCCAGGAGTTTGGAGCTAGTCCATGCAACTTAAGAGAGAACCTTTCTCTCAAACAAAAACAAAAACAAAAACAGAACACCTTTTTCCCTGGAATTATGTAGTAACGTACTTTGTAGATTGGTACTCTAATTCCAAGGGAGCGTAGTAAGATCAGCAGCTAACAGTGAGCCCCCATTACTGACGAGAGGCCATCAAGACTGTGTATACCATCCTCCGTGTTCTGTTCTCCCACTTGGAGGTTGGCAGTGTTAATCTCTGACCTGCTTCCCTATCTGTTGTCAGTAATTATAGGATCTTTATAGGCTGCGGTCCTTGCTGGGTTTTCGGAGCAAGGAGAGAGGAAGAGGGAACACATGAGTGAACACTGTGAGGTCCAGTCAAGAGTGCCACCAGCCAAGAGTGCCAGCACCTCAGCCAGGTGACCCGGGGATGGAGGCTTTGGAGCCCTTCTTGACAACGCACAAAGGTCAGATATTAGCAAGGGGAAGGAAACAGTGATAAAACATTCCAATGACAAGCAAAGATCTGCAAAAACTTAAAACAAAATAAGAACAATCCAACCCGAAGCGTACTCTGAATCCTTTATTTTGGAGAAAGAAAACTGGTCTCTCAGCTCCGTAGTCCGTTCCGTGAGGTCCACCAGGTTGCAGTCCAGCCGCCCGGCCTGCTCACTCGCTCTGGCCTGCGCCCGAAGGAGCTGCAGGGGACCAGAAGATGCTGTCGCCCGCGGGCTCGGATTGGCCAAGGAACGGCCCCACGCAGCGCGGGCGCTGGGCGGTGCCACGGTCGGCGGGGAACCCCAGGTTGGGGCGCGAAGAGCCCCGCCCCGCCCACCCGGGCGCGCCCGTCCCGGCAGCCGCGCCGCGCTGCCATTGGCGGTCGGCCGTGACGCGCAGGAGCGGCGGGGCGCGCTGGCCCCCGGGCCGTGCGAGGGGCGGGGTCGGGCCCGCGGCTGATGAAACCCGCGCGGATCCCGCCAGCCCTCAGCTCCCATTCACTGCGTGCGGGCAGGTGTGCGCGGCGGACCCACGGCAGCCAGCAGCCAGCGGGCGGCACGCGGCGGCCCGACCCTCCCCGCAGTCCAGCGCGCCCCCTCGCCCCGCGCTTCGCCCCGAGCGTCCGGCGGCCCCCGCCGAGCCGCCGGCATCCCACAGCCCCCTTGGTGAGTGCCCGGACCCCGCCGGCTCGCCGCGCCCGGGTCACCTTGGCTGGGGTCTTCCAGACGCCTGGGGCCGCGGGAGGGCGGCGCGGCCCGCCAAAGGTCGGGCGCGGAGTCACTGGCATCGTCCAGGGAGGGCGATGACAGGGCGGGCTCAGGAGGTTCGCGCGGACCGGTGCCCATGCGGCTGTCGCCTCCACGGAGTCCATTTTGCCTCCCTGAAGGCGCGGCGTGGTGCATGATGCAACACCGGCCGAGTCCGCGTGGGCGACCTGGCGAGCGGGGATGCCAGCCCCGCGCGCCTGTGCGGGGTCCGGGGTCCGGGTGGGCAGCGCTCGGCGGCGGGGGGCAGGCAGCGGGCAGCGGGGACGGGGGCGGCCTGAGAGGCGGTGGGGCCCGCCAGCTGCGAGGAAGACCTTGCCTTACATGGCGCGGTGCACAGCACCCCGCCCCGCCACGAGGTCTGGGGACGTGTCATCCGTCGCGGTGGGGTCCCGCTCGGCAGCTCGCAGGGTGGTCCTGCGCAGGTGGGCGGTCTGGGGACAGCGCCGCGCACCCCTCTCCTGTGGCGCGGTGCCTGCCCCTACTCGTCCTTTACCTAGTAGTCCCTGGGAACCCCCCCGCCACCCGTCCCGCGCGCCCCATCGCTCCTCTAAGTCCCTAGGGTTACTGTGGGAAGGTCCTCCTGCGGTAGGCTGCCTTGGGACCCCATTTGTGCCGAAAAGTCTGCGTTCTGAAGCCCTCCAACTGGTTTGGAATGGGAGGAAGTTCTTCCGGCTTTGTAAAGACAACCTATTCTCATGTGTTCCCTCCGCATAGTAGAAAACTTCCCGGGCACAGGCGGGTCACTTGGGCGAGCTCCGCGTACACGGAGTGGCATCCGCCCCGTGGTAGTACTGCTGCCGTGTCCACTGTCAGCACCTCCGCGGAGCAGTGGGAACCACACAGGGGTTGTGTTTGGTTAGATTAGCCAGACATGTGCCTTGGGGAAAAGAAACTACACTTCCCAGTACCCACAGTCCCGCTCTCACGTGCTGGGTTTTCTTCCAGACGCGAGAAGACAAGAGTTGGGATTTCAATTCCAGCTGTATTTCCCTAGAAATATGCTCTTTAAATAAAATTTCACTAGGATTGTGTACATTATGTTCTGGCTGAATTCCGTGTAATGTGAGTTATAATTCATTTGGAATTTATCTTATCAGTTCTTTCCTTTTGTGTGTTCACATAATAGGAAACCATGATACATTTATTCCCTTGATAATTTTAGTTGGTCTTGGTGGAAATTATTATTTTTGTATGAACACACCCTTATCTCATGAAAACAAAAGGTCTTATTTAAGTCACACAGTCAGAATAGAAACTTAGGGGAAAGGTCAACAGTGAATTGAAAGTTTTTAAAGGTTTAGCATATTAAAATTATGCTTAATCATTATATAGGTAATATTCAGTGGGTGTTAAAGGAGTTTTCAGTAAATAAACAAGACAGGATTCCTTAAGTAGATTATCAGAAATGTACATACTTTGCTGGATTTGTATTTTAGAGCCAATGGCTGCTTACATCTATGATTATTGGTCTTAGTTGGAAAAAAAAAAAAAAACAAAAAAAAACCATGATTCCGGGAGCTTGAATTCCAAGACACATCTGTTCTAGAAGATTGCATTCTTTCATGGAATTAAACATGTTTTCATTGATGACCAAGTCCAGTATTCTTTTGCTAAGTGCAGTAAAAGTAGGTAACTGTTTAAGGGCTCAGAATGATGTGCAATGAAGAGACACTGACCATGTGCTTGGAGGCATTGTTTATTAATCCTGTGGAGGAATCTGAAGCATGAAAAGTCCTTGTGATGGAGAGAAATGTTTCCTGTAATCATGTGAATACCAGGACCTCTGTGTCATCCTGCCCAGAGGCATCTCCTGGGAAGTCTGATGGTTTCACCTGGCCCTTAGACCTCCAGGATCCATCCTCCTTAGACCTACCAGGATCCAAGGATGAGACCCTGGTATTTCCTGTATCATGGCCCCTGCAGGCCTTGGTGAATTATTATTTTGTATGGTTGCTGGGGTTGTGCTCAGGGCCTCTTGACTGCTAAGTATGTGCTCTCCCACTGAGCTACACTCCCCAACCCATGGTCTGAATCATTTTTAAAAGTTAACTTTACAAGAATGGCCCATGAGGGATGAGAGGTCAGATAAGAGTCCACATGCAGAGGAATCACCTTATTTAGGAAAATGGGAAAGCTAGGCAGAGAATAAAGGTCTGAACTACATGAACCCTCTTGAGCCTTTACCAGGTGTGAGGCTATGACAGACCCCTGTGGGATGGGGGCCCTCTGAGCTTGGGATTCTATTGCCCTGTGGTTCCCTGGGACTTAGGACCAGTGACATCAGATCCCAGACCAAGGTTGTAGGCCTCCTCCAATCAGAGAATAGAGTACAAGCACCTTTTGGGGCAGGTTTTCAACCTTGCGATAAACTTCAGTGACTTTTCTTTCTGTCCCCCTCTGCTCCCATCCAAAGCAGTCTTGAAAATACCTACCAGTGCAGTGCAGTTCAGAGTGAGTCATTTTTTTCCCTTGATTTGTCAAGGGAAGTTTCATGCATTTGCCTCCTGCTACCTACCAGAGGATGAGCACAAATAAGGGAAGCAGTTTGGGGGGCTGCTAGTTATGTCCATTTGTCTCCCAGTTCATTGGTTCATTGCAGCACGGCGAACTGGGGGCGCACTTTTGCCAATTCAGTGGTCAGGATTTGGTCCTCACCAGCACGTGGGCTGAAGGAATGATGTTGGAAATGCTGATCATTGCAGGATTTATCCTTTCTGCTACGTGCAGCAGCTTGTGCTGGGCTTTTTCTCTGGCTATTGTCATGAATGGTGGGGACCTGCAGATGCTACATTTGGTGATGGCCAACCAGAGTGTGAGCTGTGGCTGAGGGAAGAGACCACCTCTCCTCTGGCCTCAGTGCATGTTGAGATGCCACTGCTGCAGGAACTCGTGGGAGGTGGCCCTGGGGCTGGGAATGGTGCCACTTTTGACTTCTGGGCTCCTGACTATGCTTCTGTGTGCAACCTCTGGAAAGTGAATTAGATTTTGTGGACTCTTGTGGACTGGAAGAGTCTTTCTCTTCCAGTCTCAGTCTCAGTAGTGAAGCTAGGGAACTGGAAGCTCCTAGTGTGAGAGGACAGCCGTGCCCAGTGTGCGATCACATTTTTTTCTTGAAATCACTTTTGTTTTTAGCCTGTAATGCAGATAGATAATCAAGTGCCATAAAACCTTTAAAGCTGCCAGGGAGATAGCTCAGTAGAATAAGCGCTTGCCTGGCAAGTGCAAGGGCTTGAGTTCAACCTCAGTTCCTGTTCCACCAAAATAATAAATAAATAGATAAATAAATAAAGCTCTTGTACAATGAATAACCACTAAGACAACAATATGCAATGTATTAATTATCGAAGTTGTGCTAGTAATTGGTTTTGAAACGGTTTCATTGCTATTTGTTTCTCAATAAAGTTATTAAAGACAAAACAAAATCATTAGGATAAATATGCGGCTACTTTCTCTTAGTGCAATGAGAAGAAAGATTTGTAATAATAGTGTTTAGACAATATATCATGTCTACATCTTGTACTATGAATAACTACTACAAACGCAACTATTTACATATTTGTAATGTATTATTGTAACTGTCCTACTAACCTGTTTTGAAACTGTCTCATTACTATTTCTCAATAAAATTAATTGAAAAAGAAAAAAAATAAATAAAGCTATGAGTTGGTTGGATTATGCAGGGCCAGGAGAAAGAAGATTCCTCTCCTTGCAGTATTCTTCTGTCTCCTTTTTCCTTTTTTCTAGATAGCTCCTCTTCTTTGTCTTCCCATTTCTGGGAGCACAGGGAACATGAGCTGTTGGGTTTCTTCACCTTGCCATTTTCTGACTGCAGTACTTTGCTCTGGGTGTTTGGCCAGATAAGATTCTTTCGAAAATTTTATTTGTTTAAATACAAGAAAATGTTAAAATATCCATTTAAAGTCATATTGTGGTAAAATAAAATCATAGCTTGACTTAGAAATATTACCTATAATCTTTTGCCACCTTTTTAAGAGGAAATATTACTTTGGTTATTGGTACGTTTTATTGGTACATTTATTATACAGATCAATGGGTTTCATTTTGGCAGATTTGTGTGTGCATATACCATACTTTAATCATCTCCATTATCACCTCTTGCTCTACTCTCCCTCTGGTGTCACATTTTTTGGGGGAATTTCTATGTGTATAATGCATTCTGATCATTCATTCCCCAGTTACTGGCCCCCACACCCCCCATTCCCTTTCTCTTGAGTAATAACAGTCTCCCTTCTGCTTTATTATTGTTTTTTTCCTTTCCTTTTTAGATTCTACATATTAGAGAGAGCATGAGGCATTTGTTTTTGAGAGTCTGGTTTATTTGCTAAAAAATGATGACTTCCAGATCCATCCATTTTTCTACAAATAACAAAGTTTTGTTCTTTTTATGGCTGAATAAAATAGATATACACTGTATATACACACACATTGTTTTTCATTCTTCTGTTGATGGGCATCTAGTCTGGTTCTATACTTTGCCCCTTTTAGCTTGTGGAGGAACCAGCATACTAAGGTGCTGTACTAATTGACATCCCCACCAGTGGTGTAGAAGAGATCCAGCTCCCCCTGCGGCCTTGCCAACATTTATTGAGTTTTGTATGCTTGATGATAGCTATTTTGACTGGGTTGAGATGGAATCTCAGTTTTCTTTTGCATTTCCCTGGATTCTTGACCTTAAATCTAGCAAGACACCCAACCTGTGTGCTTGGTGGCAGAATTTTGCATTTTGAGACCATCAGTGGATTCAAGTCGCCTCTGCTGGGCATGGCCAACCTGAGCTTGTTAATCCCTGCTGCATCCTTCCTGGGGGCGGGGGTCAGAGGAAATGGTGTGACCTTCCAAAGAAAGGGCTGAATCCCCAAAGTAGGCAGTTAAACTGT